TCCCTTTATAACCCCTTTATAACCCTATATGACCAACCGGAGGCCTGGTCGCAAGATGCGCCGCCCCGACCTGCGCCACGCCGGCGGCGTGCAAACTCCTGCGATGGGCGGCTGGGACCGCACAGAGGGGGTGTCCTTAAGGTTTTGGGTTTAGGTGATACTAAGAACCCTGCATGACGCTAGTATACCACAGTACTATTTCTCCCAAGGTTTAAGGTACTTGGGGTCATGCAGGATGTTCAGTATCAACATATATGACCCTAGAAACCTATAAGGCCCCTGTACCATATAAACCCTTAACGCTTAGCCCTTAAAACCCTAAACCCATAACCCTTACAACCCTTAACCCTCAACCCTGAACCCATAACCCTTAAAACCCTTAACCCTTCACCCTGAACCCATAACCCTTAACACCCTTAACCCTTAACCCTAAATCCTATACGCTCGAAGGCCCCCGCAGGGAATTGCCGTGCGCCGGCGCCTGGCGCAGCTGTCCGAGCAGCTGGGCCCGGGGCGAGGCCTCGGTCACCCTTGAAGGGGTACAGGAATTTAGGGGTTTAGGGTTTAGGGATTTAGGGTTTAGGGTTTAGGGTTTAGGGATTTAGGGTTTAGGGTTTAGGGTTTAGGGATTTAGGGTTTTGGGATTATAGAATTATATTGGGGTTATATTGGGATAATGGAAAAAAATGGAAACTACTATAATTATAGGGATTGTATAGGGGGTTTATAGGTGGTATATAGGGGTTACAAAGGGATAATGCAAAAGAAAATGCAAGCTAGGGTTTAGGTCTTGGGATTTAGGGTTTAGGGTTTTAGGGTTTAGAGTTATCAACTGACAAAGAAAATGGAAAATGACAAATGGGAAACAACCATAGGATTAGGGTTGAGGAGTTTAAGGTTTAGGGGACTGAAGAGATGGAGAGGGTTACATGGTGTATATATATATATGTATATATCAGGTTGCAGAAGGGATAGATAGGTTTAAGGATGAAGAGTTGGGGACGAGGGTTTGGGTGTTTTAAAGGGGTGGTTTACGGTGCTGTTTATATTGGATTTAGAGGGTTTAGGGTTTCTATTGGATTTAGAGGGTTTAAGGTTTCTATTGGATTTCGAGGGTTGCTTTTGGGGAGTTTGTGAGGGCTGCCTTGAGGGGGCTTACAGTATAGCGGGGGATGCGCGGGAGCCCCGAAGCTGGGAACCCCACAATACAGTAGACATATAATAGGAGAATACCAACCGGAGTCCTTATATTCGTATCATATTCTTATATGCTATATTCTTGGGGTTTCCTGCTGAGGGTCCCCATTACAGTCCTTTTACAGTATAGAGGTTACATTGGCGAAGGTTATCTGGGCCAAGTTCAAACGGATTATAGGTGCGACCTTCAAGGGGGTGGGCGGTGTTGGGTTTAAGCCTTGGCTAGAAAGGTTCCTAAGGGGTGGAAGCAATGGATAGCCAGGGCTTTCTAAGGATATATAGGGTTTGGGATGTGTAGGATTCAGGGTTCCATTTCCTTCCAGAACTGCGAGACGATCCTTTTCTGGGCAAATGGGTAGTCTACGACTGTCAGCAGGGATTACTGACGTATTGCTTCGAGGTTGAATTTTTCATGATGTTCGATTGCCTGCTTGAGGATACCATGGGAGTGCAAGAGTCGGTGGCATAGCATTTACCCTCCCCCAAGCTAACATCGTGCCCGAAGTAGCCACCTTTTGTAAAACATATTTGTGGGGCCCTCATGGGTTCCGCAAGCCCCCCACCCCCGGTATTGAATTTCAATATGCACCCAAGAGACAGAATAACACCAGAAAATGTTATTACTGAGGTGTGGAGGGCGTTTTTTGCCTGGGGAGGGGTTACTGTATGATCCATGAGAAATACTACTTGCTGGATGTCCCACACCCCTGAGCTGCGAACTCAGAATCTACGTGTTCAAGTCCTAGACGGAAAGTGCTTTACTTACCGAAGTCGATCAACAATTCCCCTGAAGCCTGAAGTCTACGCCGTCCTCGACACATAAACGTTAAAGTCTCAACCCTTTCCCTTCCCCGCACCAACATGAAACCCACAAAAGGTTCCCAAAACGAATTCCCATACTTTCAAAAGGAGAGAGGGAGTATATATCAACCCTCTACACCCCTGCCAGACAAGGTCCCCACATCTTCAACCCTGTTCAATTCCTATACAAGGCCCCCTCGTTTTGCATAATTCATATGTATCCCCAACCCTACCTGGACCTCCAAGGTAGGTAATATGATTCCCCGGGCAACATGTCAGTGTTCTACAGATTTCTGGGGGTTCGGGTACAGCCTCATACTCAGACCCTATAAACCCTAAACTCAAAGCCCTAAACCCCAAACCCTAAGCCTCTAAACCTCTAAACCCCTAAACCCTAAACCCTAAAACCCTAAAACCCTAAAACCCTAAAACCCTAAAACCCTAAAACCCTAAACCCTAAACCCCAAAACCCTAAAACCTTGCGAAGGTGGTTGGAGCCGTGAGGACCACGAGGCCTTCGCGAAACTTCTCCTCGGGCCGCTCCTTTTGCACCCTGAAGCTTGGGGCTTTGGCTTTAGGGGTTGCGGGTTTAGGGGTTTAGGGGTTGAGGGTTTAGGGTTTTTTTCGGGTTTAGGGGTTAGGGGTTTTTCGGGTTTAGGGGTTTAGGGTTTTTTCGGGTTTAGGGGTTTAGGGTTTAAGGGTTTAGGGGTTTTCGGGTTTACCGGTTTACCGGTTTACGGTTTAGAGGTTTAGGGGTTTAGGGGTTTAGGGTTATAGGGGCTTAGGGGTTTTCGGGTTTTCAGGTTTAGGGGTGTAGGGTTCAGGGGGTTAGGGGTGTAGGAGTTGAGGGTTTAGGGGTTTAGGGGTGTAGGGTTTAGGGGTTGCGGGTTAAGGGTTAAGGGTTTAGGGTTCAGGGGTTGAGGGTTTAGTGTTTTAGAGTTTCGGGGTTTGGGGCAAATATAGTAATTATATAAATAGGCGGACCCCCAAATAGATACACCCAAAACAATACACCAAAAGTACACCTAATTTTCGGAAACCTCCACATGACCCAGTGATAATATTTGTACTTATCACTCAACCATATCAGGGACTCAGGGCTCTTTTGAATGGGAAACAAGGACAGCTTGCAAGTGTGGGCTTGGTGGCCAAGTGTTAAACCCTAAGGGTCCAGCTGCCCAAAAAATCGGGTTTATAGATACCAAGCACTATATTTATATCATGATATTTGAAGCCGAAAGCCCGATTATTTGGATTCCTGGACACTCTCAGGAAGGGGTTTACTGTAGAAGCCTTCAAGAGTTATAGGATAGTGGGGTGTGTATATCTATATCGGGGTCCTATGAGGTTTTGGGTTTAGTGTTCACGTTCCGGTGGTTTTTGGGGTTCCGGGTTAGAAGCCCAAAGGGGCCTACAAAGACTTTACTGCTGGGGAAGATTGACTTCCATGCTCGTCTGGCTTCAGGTTTAGGGTTTGGAGGTTCCAGTTTGGTGTTTAGCGGCTTAAGGTTTAAGCCCTAACCCTCAAACCCAAAACGCTAAACGACCTTCAGTTTGTAACCATGGGTCTAGGTCCCCAGCACCGAAGTGTGGTCCATAGTCCACTGTGTAGGCATCCACGCCCAAGGGTGCAAACCCAAAGGGGCTGAGGTTTAGGGTATCAAGGACAACCTTCTGGTAACATGTAGGCTAGACCATTCTAAGAAAACGGCCGCACAGATCCTAGATGCCGGGAGAAATGGATGTTTGCACAAAACATCTACTATATGACCCTGACTATCGATCCCTCAAAACCTAATAAACCGTTGCCAGACTACCCTGGTTCTGAGAAACCCCCCCAAATGTTACTGGTTGCGGTGGCGTTTCCCTAAACCCTCAACCGTAAGCTCTAAACCTTGAATCTCTACGCCCCAAAAACATTAAATCCCGAAGCCATATGAGCTATATAGTCTGAGCTCCTTAAACGGAGGTTATACAGGGGATTATACAGGGAGTATTATATGGGGTCATTTAGGGGGATACTGGGAGTTTAGACAATGGCTCCTTTACGCTCCCGAATTCTTATCTTGCTATACCCTAAAATCCCCATCTATTGCCTATAGAAAACCAACCCTAAACCCTAAAGCCTAAAGCCTAAACCCTGAACCCTAAACCCCAAAGCCTAAAGCCTAAACCCTAAACCCCAAAACCTAAAGCCTATAAAGCCTAAACCCCAAAACCTAAAGCCTTAAAGCCTAAACCCCAAAACCTAAAGCCCAAACCCTAAACCCTGAACCCTAAACACCAAAACCCCAAAACCCTAAACCTTAAACCCGAAGCCCCGAATCCCAGGCGCTTCAAGGGCCGGGCCAGTCCTGCATTCCTGGAGGAGGCTGGTGCAGAGTTTCAGGATTTTAGGGTTTAGGGCTT